TCACTGACTGGACTTTGCACCTATTTTAAATTTTTGAAATAAGTTATCTGCCTTACCATAAATAGTAATGTTTGTTATTGAAATAAATCAAAATGACGAACACAACTAGTGCATAAGGGTATACTATTCACACATTTACAGTTTATTTTATTTATACGTTTTTATTTATAATTATTAAAGATACCATACAAATTTGCAGCATTTTCTACTTGTTTGTACAGGTTTCCTTTTTACATTTGCAATTAAGTGTTTAGATTTTATTTTCAAATTTACAAAAACATCTTACAGTTGCGCATTTTCCTGAGCATTTTCTCTTTTCTGGAATGATCAAGGCCGGTTTTGTAAATTGAGTATACTTCTTTGCAATGACTAAATCTTTCGCTTGTGCTTCACAGTTTCTAAGGTACTTTTTCAAAAAAAGTGTGCGAATTAACGGTGTGCAATGTGCAATTTGCACATCGTTTTAGCTAAAATGAAAACAATTACATCACTTTTCAAACGATGTACAAAAATCAGCGGTTTTAACGAAAAACACTGTCGTAAATCATATGAATTTGTTCACGTTTAAAATTATTAATTTAGCAATTAGCGCTATATAATAGTTAACGTAATATCGATTTGATTATGCCTCTAAAGAAACACTTTTGTAAAAAAAATTGCACATCGTTTTTTCTGAACTAATTTCGCACACTGATAAGTGATTCTGGCTCTTTCTGTAAAATTGCTTTTGCATGTTTTTTTTTGCTTGTGCAATGGTTGGAAACCTTCTCCTCAGTTCAAAAACTTCCTGTTGTATAGTTTGTGCATAATCTAAATAAAATATAAAACAAAGGGGAAACAGTTATACAATGCAAGTATAAAAAGATCGTTTGGCTTATTTTGCAAATCAAGTTTGAAAATGTTACTATAGGTTGGTTCTTCTTTTATTTTTCTGGCAATTGCTTTTACACCATTAATGGCCTTTGAATAGATTACCACACATCTGTCATCTCCTTTTTTTGTCTTAGCCTGCTGTCTTTGAGAGTTTTTTATTGAAGTGTAAATTGGCACAAAGCAATCTATATTTAAAGTGGATTGTTTCTTTTGCTTGTGTTGCAAAGCATGATTGACATCTACTTGTCAAGCCATATTTAATAAAATTGCCATGAAAGATGATTGTATTGAATAATGTAATGTAATGAAGGAAATATTTACCTGGCCATAATTAAGTGATATGGACAGGCATGTTTTGATTCCAATGAGGAGGTTTGGTAGAAATCCGATACCTTGCATTTTCGAAATGTTTTGTTTTCTGTATGTACATAAATGTTCGCTATACGATTCAACAAACTTAGCCATCTCTCTTCCCTCTCATTCTCATCAGATGTTGATGATGCGACCTAATATATATGGTTTATGATGGACTATAACCCCATTTAAGTTAAACTTAACTTTGCACCCATGATTGATGTCTTCCTGACAAGAATATTTTTATTGGAAGGCCTACCGCAATCCAAGGTTTTATATCTTTAAATTTCTTCACTTTTGCTACTTTTAGTAGCTTTTTCTTCTCTCGTAAAAGTAGTTAATGAACTCTTTTTCACGCTTTGACCGTTGGATAAATCATTGCCGTATTATAGAATGTGATTTTTTCATATATGTATTGCCAATTTTTGTTATTATCAATAACTATTTGTTTGCTTATGCAAAATTGTACGCTAACAGTTCTTGCCTTTAGCTAAATGCCAAACATCGTAATAGTGTTTGATTGTTGGTTTTTCCTTAGCCATATAGCTTGACACTTTTGAATGCTTGTCAGTCGCAAGTTTTCGACATTAACGTTTTCTTGATCGAGATATAACAGTTGTCGTTTGAGTGAATCCAACTCCATAGCATTAGAATTTGGAACCTCTGTGCTCTGTTTTACAAAAAATAAAGTGAATATGCAAACGATTTCTAATCAATTACCTGCATCTGTTTTCATTTCAGTCATTATATAATTATTGCATGAGAACGAGCTTCCACGCAACTAACAAACTCATCTAGTACACACCTTGATAATCTGCGTATCGTTAATGATATTTCTTTCTAAATCAAGAGTACTACCCGCTAAAAAAAAACAATGTAGCCTGGGCTGTCTACCCTCTTATCTGACGCTATTTTAATAGATTTTTTGGACTTCAGAAAGCATTTGCTGTTGCTCTTTTCCAAAGGTTGTTCACAGCCGGGATGAAATTGGCAGTTTGGATGTTTGCAAATTCTTTTTTTAATGTAATAAGTTTAGCGACTTAAAGACGCAATGCCTTATTACACTCCAATCCAGTGGTAAGGATGTTTGTTGCCACAACCCAGTGGGCAATTGACGTCGGATCGACGTCGAAATCGACGTAATTTCGACGTTCTTTCCACGTCGAAATACCGACGCTAAATCGACGCCGTTGTTTCGACTCTATTACTACGTTCTTTCGACGTCGAAATGATGACGCTCAATGGACATCGTTGTTTCAACTCTATTTTGACGTTCTTTCGACGTCGAAATGCTGACGCTCAATGGACATCGTTGTTTCAACTCTATTTTGACGTTCTTTCGACGTCGAAATGGTGACGCTCAATCGACGCCGTTGTTTTAACACTATTTTGACGTTCTTTCGACGTCGAAATGCTGACGCTCAATCGACGCCATTGTTTCAACTCTATTTCGACGTCGAAACAACATCATTTTTCGACGTGAAATGAAGTTTGCAATTTTCGTTGAAAACGCGTCGAAATCACGACGATGCATATTTTACCGTGCATATTTTGACTCTATTTTGACGTTCTTTCGACGTCGAAATGCTGACGCTCAATGGACATCGTTGTTTCAACTCTATTTTGACGTTCTTTCGACGTCGAACTGCTGACGCTCAATGGACATCGTTGTTTCAACTCATTTTTGATGTTCTTTTGACGTCGAAGTGCTGACGCTCAATGGACATCGTTGTTTCAACTCTATTTTGACGTTCTTTCGACGTCGAAATGCAGACGCTCAATCGACGCCGTTGTTTCGACTCTACTTTAACGTTCTTTAGATGTCGAAATGCTGACGCTCAATGGACGTCGTTGTTTCAACTCTATTTTGACGTTCTTTAGACGTCGAAATGCTGACGCTCAATGGACATCGTTGTTTCAACTCTATTTTGACGTTCTTTCGACGTCGAAATGCTGACGCTCAATGGACGCCGTTGTTTCAACTCTATTTTGACGTTCTTTCGACGTCGAAATGCTGACGCTCAATGGACGCCGTTGTTTCAACTCTATTTTGACGTTCTTTCGACGTCGAAATGCTGACGCTCAATGGACGCCGTTGTTTCAACTCTATTTTGACGTTCTTTCGACGTCGAAATGCTGACGCTAAATGGACGCTGTTGTTTCAAGTCTATTTTGACGTTCTTTCGACGTCGAAATGCTGACGCTCAATGGACACCGTTGTTTTAACTCTATTTTGACGTTCTTTCGACGTCGAAATGCTGACGCTCAATGGACGCCGTTGTTTCAACTCTATTTCGACGTTCTTTCGACGTCGAAATGCTGACGCTCAATGGACATCGTTGTTTCAACTCTATTTTGACGTTCTTTCGACGTCGAAATGCTGACGCTCAATCGACGCCGTTGTTTTAACACTATTTTGACGTTCTTTCGACGTCGAAATGCTGACGCTCAATGGACATCGTTGTTTCAACTCTATTTCGACGTTCTTTCGACGTCGAAATGCTGACGCTCAATGGACATCGTTGTTTCAACTCTATTTTGACGTTCTTTCGACGTCGAAATGCTGACGCTCAATCGACGCCGTTGTTTTAACACTATTTTGACGTTCTGTCGACGTCGAAATGCTGACGCTCAATGGACATCGTTGTTTCAACTCTATTTCGACGTTCTTTCGACGTCGAAATGCTGACGCTCAATGGACATCGTTGTTTCAACTCTATTTTGACGTTCTTTCGACGTCGAAATGGTGACGCTCAATCGACGCCGTTGTTTTAACACTATTTTGACGTTCTTTCGACGTCGAAATGCTGACGCTCAATGGACGTCGTTGTTTCAACTCTATTTCGACGTCGAAACAACATCATTTTTCGACGTGAAATGAAGTTTGCAATTTCCGTTGAAAACGCGTCGAAATCACGACGATGCATATTTTACCATGTTATTAACTAAAAAAGAAACTTGTGCATTGCGTTGGGTAACATTTAAATTTTTTAATTATAAAATTTGTTATATGGCATGTTTCTTGTGGCAACAAACCATAACATCGATCAGAAATTCTTCCGTAATTACACTATCAACCAATTACCATCGGACTGGATTAAGGGATACCCGAGTTGGATAAGCATTATCTTTATAGTTAATACTACTTATCCATCTTTATTGAGAAAGCCATATGCACCTGGAGCGAAAGCCTTGGCACGATAGCCTACTAATCTTTCTCACCCGAGCATTTGCCCGCTGATTGAGCCATATAGCACAACACGTGTTTTAAAATTCCAACGATCGAGGAGTCAAATTTTCCTATTTTTGTATTTGGATGTTTGTCAGGGTTGGATTAAATGAGACTTCATTTTTTGACTCTGAAGATGACTACCGCTAAGGTTGTCGAAACGTGAGTCAACAACAACAAAAACAGTCCTTGTCAGGACTTTATTAACCTGGACGATCATCATTTACAAACATGTAACGATACTCCCGGGTTCAAACCATTTACTTTATAACACTTTTTATTACAATTTTACGAGAAAAAGTTAGACTAATTTGAATTTTAAATTGGAATCTAATCTAGTGAATCCAATGACAGTGAACTACATTCCAAACTTTCCATAACCTTTTTTGATTTTTTCACATTTCATCTATTTTATTTTTAAAGGTATAAATAAAACAGCATAATTAAGTAAAATACCTTTACATATAAACTTGACCACTTGAATGATACTCAAGCCACAATGATCGCACAACATGAAGTGCAATTAATTAATGAATATATCAACCTTGTGTTATCAACATTAATGAACAATAAAGATTTTGAGACAAATTTGAAATCTTCTTTAATTATTTAAAGAAGATTAAAGAAGATTTAATTAAAGAAGAATGGCCAACCCTGATGTTTCTTGATGTTTTCAATTTCCTGATCTTTTGGATTTACTGCGGATTCTCAAAAAGGTTTGTAAAGACTATGGCATCTTTGTTTTATTTACGTAGAGCATAAATTGTTAGTGTGATTAGAGATACCTATTTATTTGAGTCAATGACTCAACATCGACATTATGATGGTTAAGTGTTTTCCTAACATATTCACGTTATCACCGTTATATTTTATTAATTTATTGGCTATTTAAGAGTTTACTCAAATATATATGTGCTGATAAACCATTATACTTTAACGCAGACTTCTGTTTTATTATATTGTTTTAGTATGAAAGTAATACAGTATCACTGAAATTCACTATTACCTCTTATAATGCAATTATCAAGGCTAAAAGGCTTACTTTTAAAATCTTGAAATGGCTTATTGAAAGCAGCCAAATAATATAAAGAAAGTTAATTTGTTTTCTTTACAGTGTTTGTCAATACCTTTATACCTCCAACTCCAAGAATAGTCAGGAATTGCGGGAATATATTTATGGATTAAATTCCATGATATGTGGGTAAGGTTGTCTTCCTTTGATGCAAGAAGTAGTATGTGTTAAAACACCAATGAATGTAAGGTAGTGCGTGTAGAGGGGCTTTGTCAACAGAGGTGTGTTCTGTTCTTTAAAGTAAATTTTGATGCTGATTTTTGCAGTGTTGTTGCACCTTGTTTTAATAAATTCTTTTACTTATATGCCATGATTGACAGATGCATTTGGAAGTTAAATGAATATGAAAAATCACTTGCTTTTGCTTTGAACATTGTTTGTCATAGGTAATGTATAAGTATTTTGCAGTGCAACTAATTGGTTCCTCTCCTTCACCCACTCAAACCAGGCAAAGTGCACACTGCTTTAAACCACTGCTTTAAATCTCACCACAGGATGTTAGTTCAAATAAGTAATTTTTTAAAGTCTATGCAATATTTATTTCATGCTTGTGTGCTCACTTACAGCAAATTTATGTATATGTGTTTTTGAGAATTTCTGACTCATGTAGAACAAGTATTGCCTGCAATGGACATGAATGGCTAACATGACAAAATTGCTTAAGGAAGGACAACTAAGCTTCATCTTATCTTACAAGTTTGTGACAAATTTAATTTTCATTGCTTTTATATAACTGCTAATGTAGTCATGTAATACCTATGAATACAGTCGACAAGGGATAAAGCATAGAATAATTATGTATATGTCAATATTGATCCCTCCTCCCAAATTGTTTATATTCATGTTTACTCTCAAAAAACCTCAATTTAATCATTTTTCGTTTTGTGTAATTTGTAGTTTTTAAGAACTTAAAAAATATTTATCATAAACAGAAAGCGTTGTTTGGCCATAGACCAACATGATGTTTAGGTAAGGTTCTATTTCTTTAATGCATGAAGAAGTATGCACTAAAACAGCAATGGATGTAGGATGATTATGTAGAATGGCTTTGTGGGAAGGGGTGTGCTGTATTTTAAAAGAAATTTTATTGGTGATTTTGGGTGTGTTGCCCCAAATGGTTATTTTGCTTCTGAGGCAATTACTTGGTAAATTAGCTAGTTGTAACATGAGAATTTATTGTTGAATTTACATTGTGCTGATTTTAAAGATGCTATGCAATACTATGTGCAAACTTGGCTGACCATCAATCAAGTTATTTTAGTCTCATAAACGTCACTTGTTTTGCAAAACTTTCACCAAATCCCCATACTTGGCCTTGGGGTGTAAATTCATCAAGCATCTTTTATGAACTGGGATAGAATAGAAGAAAATCCTTAAAAAGTGCATTATGTTAATTCAAATCGAGCGAGATAGTAATTTCAGTTTTATCTTAGGACAATTTTATTGTTGTTTTTACAGAAACAGCTTTCAAAAGACACCGCGAGAGAACTGGCTAATATATTTGGCATGCCCTCGACTTCTCAAATATAAAGTAAACCAGATAGAAGGCGGAGATTGAAAGTCAAGCTCGTAAAATAAACATTCTAAAACACGAATTCAACCCATCGGTATGAAGGATATTTCATTAAATTGTTTTACCGTTTGATCATCGCCATGCATGCGCATACTATGTTAATAATGCATGGCCAAGCCAATGAGATTTTAATAAACAAACGTGAGAAATATTCTGCGTGTTTGACAATTGTTGGGAAATAATTAAACTATACATTTGCCAGAGGGAGAACGAAGTCTTAATATAAATGTTATTGCCCAACATAAAACTTTCCGTTTTATGAAGAAAAAAAAAGAAGAAAAAAACGAAGAAAAGAATGTTGAGAAGAAAAATCCCATTTCTTTGTCTAATAGTCTTTGTAAACCTCAAGAACAAAAAAAAAAACAAACATTCATGATTCAAGCTTGTTTTACTGTTGCAAAACAGGCTCGCTAGAATATATTTTAGCTTTGATTGGTTTTGTAGCATTGTTACTCATAGATCATCATTTTCAACAGCATCAAGTAGCTAATTGCCTAAATAAAAATATTTTTTCAATATACAACAGCAGTTTGTAAAGCAATTGAGCTTTTTTATAAACACATCATATTTGACACTGAAACATATACCAAAATTTGACTGGCAAACCAGTTGCTTTTCTTTTCCAGCACAGTTATATGGAAAATTCAAAATTGATGAGTCAAGGTTTGCAAATATCACGCGTACATGATCTATAGGACTAAAGAAATGTTATTGGCTAGCTTTAGTCAAGTGCAAAATGTGATTGGCTATCAGAATGAACAAGCAATGGTTGATCAATTTTTTTAAATTTTGTTGTAGACGACGAAGTATAAATCAACGTTTGCAAACCTTTTGTATCTTTTCTTTTTGCTAAAATACGTCGACTGCCTCCCCTCATCTTAAATGCAAAACTCGTTTTTCTTTCAATGTTGTTGCTCTTTGGGGATTAACTATTCCTGAATCGAGCAAATTCTAAATGTCGAATTATTTCAAGTACAAGCAGTTTTTTGCGACAGCCTCTACGTACAAACCAACTATTCTAAGGTGTGGCTATAACTTATGATTGACTTCTTTGCTTGCAGAATGGCTGCCAAACCAAATACAAGATTATTGAGCGAGTTATAGTGGATGCTGAAACACTTTGTAAAATGAAACAAACTAAGGAGACAGTACCATTTTAATTCGTTATATGAGAGGAGACAACAATACCGTTGTATTTCGAACTTATTACTATTTCGTCATCACAAAGTTGATCTCAAAGAAAAGGAAATGTTATAAAGAAGAACTATTGACCAAATTGTTAACTTCAACCGCTAAGAATTTTTGGCGATATGGACGTATGATTCTAAGGCTGTAAGCATGCTGATCCTTAAATGATAACACGTAGCATTATGGGATACAATGTTGAAGCCTAGCAACTGCATGTATATATATATATATATATATATATATATTATATATGTATTGATAGGAAGAAGAAAATACACAAAAACTACAATTTCATCCCGACAAGCCTGTTTCGTGATTTCTCACACTTCAGGGGTTAGCATTGAGCACTGTACTTACGGAGATTCAAATAAACAAAATTTCCTTTATATATACATATACACCTACATATACGGTTCAGTGACCAGCTAACTTACTACAATATACGCTGTAAAGAGCGCATACCTTATCTCGACATTGTTGAGTGTTCTGTTCAAACGCTCTAAACAGTGTTGAGATACGGTTTGTTGACTACACAGTGAGAACTAAATAGTTGAAACGACTATTTTAAATGGTTGCCACAATTGCAATTTGGTCATAACAACCATATGAAAAATTTGTCATTTAGAAATGACAAATAATGATGGTTCAAACAAACATTTTTAACGGTTGTAACCAATATGCAATTTCGCCATAACCATCGTGTTGAAAATTGGTCAATTAGTAATTACTAAATAAGATTTTAATGAGCAATAAACAATTGGTCACCTTTCTTTATTTGTTTATATTTGTTTTTTAGTAAGTGTGTTATAGTTTTGACCACGTGACATACAATCAAAAGAAATAATCAAAATAGATAATAAAAAATAAATAAATAAAAAATAGAAGAAATCAAGTTGAATGCCACAGGATCATTTAAATGCCATTTAGAATGAAAATTTCAATTAGTTGCTCTTATTATTTACAATATGACTTTAGCAATTAAAGCATGTTATTTCCAGAACAGAAACAAATTGATTCCAAGTTAGTGAAATGACACTTCTGTGACTTCAGTAGCTACGCAATACGCAATGCTGGCAAAAACGGGCGATTAACCTCGATATAAATTGTTATTTGCATTATGCTAAAAGTAGAGTTGGCTTAATAATACGATTTGTGAGACTTCTTTGAATTATCTACATTAGCAGCGTTGATTCAAAGGGAATACTATTGGATTATGTACTTCAATGGTTGGTAGTGACAGTTGGAATGACAGTTAAAGAGTAGTTACTTTGTTGATCATTTTTCATACCTGTTCTTACATATTCTTAATAATATTCAAGATTGAGACTTACTACATAATCGCCCGAGCATTGATCAAACAAAGAAAAGCACTGAAAACATTCTGGATTCCAACGTAACTTCATCTTAAGTCCTCCATCACACATACTCAAAATAGTAAGACATTTTTCATCTGCGTAAACATAGTTTTCTAGTTAAAAACGGGTCATATTTATTATTTTCTGTAAAGATGCGCTAAACATTGAGATAATGCTCTTTCTCTAATGATTCAGTCATATATTTTTCGTTTATTGAATGCCTCTACAAATATGTGCACTGCATTTGCTGTCCGTGTTTTTAGGTCACATTTGTTGAATCCTCTAATTCATAAAATGTTGGATAGAAAAATACCGCACGGTATTACTACTGAAATAGCTGCTCAAAAAATTGATAAAATTCGAGTAATTATCATTCCACTTTGTTTTCGAGTTTTTTGCTCGAAATTTTTATGCATTTAAATAGCTAAAACTGTATTACAATTGTCGAACAAAGTTAAGCAGGAACAGGTTGAAAACCATTAACACTCAGAGATAAACACATGCAAGCCGAGATCTGTGTAAATATTTTTTACATACAAAAAACGTTGTGATGGTAGTCATTGTTACAGGCATCTAATGTAAGATGTTTTAATTTTTAATCATGGTGTACAAGGATAAAATATTATCGTGTGATACCCAACAAACAAGTGATATTTTTTTGGAGATTCAAAAAGGCAAAAATATGAACAAATTCATTGTTCCGAACTTATACTGCCTTTATAATTTACTTTGACAAATTAAAAACATGTTCATCCAGAAAATAACTGGCCATATAACTGATTAAATTTCTATAAAGTCATATCGTTACAATGCCAATAAAAATATTTTCAAGTTCGATAATATTGTTCTCCACAAACGCTTGAAATTATTTTTAACACTACTGTGTTCAATTGCATTTGTTATTTGATTTATTAAAATTTATGTTGAATAATCATTTTCTAAGTTGTACATGCATGCATAAATATCTCAATAGTGTCCATGTATGCATGTCGTACAACGGACTTCAAATAGACTTTATTATTCTAAAATATTTGAACTTCAGTTCCTGCAAAAAGTTATATCTCAGTCTGTCAACAGCTGGCATGATGACATCAACAATCGTTTGACTTCGCAAAAAATGAGATCAATATGTTATCGGCAATTCATTATATCTTGACATGGTCAACCAATTTAGTCCAATAAAGTTTGTCTAAGAGATAATATTATACATCCAATAAAACAACGCAAACTTGATTAGTTTTGGACTCTTTTCGTTTTAAGAATGATGAGGTGCAGTATTCAATATTTACGGAAAACACAGTTTATCATCACATTTGAACAGGCAAGGTAGAAGAAAGTAGAGCACTCCTAAGTTGGCCAGACAAATCATTAATAATGAGAGATATTGTAGTTTTCGTTATGGCAATATGTGCTTTTGGCATTGCTGGAAATACTCTTGTGATCGCTTCAATTTTAAAACAAAAGATTCTGTTAAACAAAAACTACTACTTTCTTGTCTTGCATCTTGCAATATGTGACGCATTTGTACTATTGAGTATATTTCTCTTTGAGATCTTTGAACACCATTTGAAGAGCAATCCAATTTTGTTAAACTGTAGATACTTTTAAGTGTAAGTGGCATAGATACTTTTTTTCAAATAAGTGGAGTATCTATAATGTTGATCATTTCAGTTCTACGTTATCGTGCGATAGTTCATCCATTGAAACCTTCCTTCAGTCGACAAACGATAAAAATCGTTTGTGGTTTAGCATACATCATTGGTTTGATTACGACAGTTGGAATGACATTTCAAGAGTGCATTATGGATCCTCAAGCTCGTTATTTTATTTACGAATTGTTTGCGTTTTATTCATGTTTCTACATTTTCCCAATAATCTTCATGACTGTGACTTACTCCATAATCGCTCAAGCATTAATTAAACAAAAAAAAGCACTACGAACACTCTCCAATCCCACAAATTCTCATGTACAATCCTCCACTAGCTCAAGTCTTCAAAGATATACTCGGCATCGTAAGACATTTATTGTTTGTGTCAGCACAGTTCTCTGCTTCACAGTGGGTCACGCTTCTTTTTTGGTTGTAGACGTGCTCTGTATAAACAACATTGTTCCATCAAATTCATCCACTACTCTTTACGTTGTTTATGTTCTCCGTCTTTTGGGCTCACACGCGTTAAATCCTCTGATCTATAGAATATTGGATAGAAAAATGTTGTTTTTTTGGAAATGCTGCCCAAAAATAAGACCAATCTAAATTGTTTTCAGCATCAAAAAGTAGAGGTTTTTAATATAGGGGCTCTTTTATGTATTTCGAACATTATAAAGTAGCTAGAATATAATTTAGTCCTGAATTGCTTTGTGAGCGTTTATATGAAATATTTATATGAAATAACATACAATTTCATCAAATTCTTCCACAAACATTTTGTTAGCAAAAAAACACATAGAAACAACATGGGTTTCACGAGGGAATTTCATATGACGCCTTTTGTGATTTGCACGTTGATATATGCTTCGCATGCGGTTCCAAACAGCTTTTATTTACTGTAATAATTAATTTAAAGTAAGGCCCGTTTTAAACGTGCATTTTACATGCGCCGAAAGCATTAAAGACAAAAGAAAATGAGATAAAATTCCTCATTATCTTTTGTTTTAATTGCATTCGGCTCATGTAAAATGCAAATTTAGAAACAAGCCTAAGCCATCTAGTCAATTGCTTTTTTAGACCAGTAGGAGCACTAAGATGGTTAGCCGTAGCCAGTAATTAAATTAAATATAGAGCACCAAGTTGCACAATGGAGTAAGACTACTGTTTGTTTCTATACTGTGACTGTAACTTACTCCTTAATCACTCGAGCAATAATCAAACAAAGAAAAGCCCTTAGGCCCGTTTCAAACGTCAAACTTTACATGAGCCGAATGCAATTAAAACAAAAGATAATGAGGAAGTTCATTTCATTTTCTTTTGTCTTTAATGCATTCGGCGCATGTAAAATGCGACGTTTGAAACGGGCATAAGAGCACTCTCCAATGCAAAACCGTCTCATTTTCAATCCTCAAAACAGGGATAAATTGAAAACATAATTCTTTTGTCGGCAGAGGACGGGATTAGTTAACTATTAAAACAGCCTCCATAACGTGTAACTGAATGAATGAACGGCATTTCTCTCCTTTGAAGATGACGTACACTCTTTCTTGACATTATAAATATCGGTTGGTTTTAAAAATTTATTTAGCAGACGTTGTTACCCGAGGAGTAGTCTGCCGAAATGCATCATGTCGGTTAGTTCTTTTAGAACTATTGGGTTAGTGCTCTTTACCTAAAATAGTTCTTTTAAGAACTATTAACTTTTTACTTTACTATTTTGTTCATTCTAAAATATTTGAAATTTAATTCTTGCATAAAAGTCATTTTCTTAGTCAAGCAGCAGGCATGATTACTTTACAGATCGTTTCACTTGGGCAAAAAATTAGATGTTTTGTTATCGGCAATTCATGATATCTTGACATGGTCGAACAATTTAGTCTAATAAAGTTTGTCTAAGAGACCAAATTATGGTTTCACAAACAACAAAACAACGCAAACTTGATTAGTTTTGGATCCGCATCGTTTTAAGAACGTGCCCTCATTAAACACAGCTGTGCATGATGCGATGCGGTGTTGAATATTTACTCTGAAAACACTGAAAACACCG